TCATTAAACTGCTGAAAGACAGAAAGCAAAAAAAAAGCAACAGAGAAGCAACTCATCACATACAAAGTATCCTCAGTAAGATCATAAGCTCATTTCTCAACAGAATTCTGAGGCCAGAAAACAATGGAATGATAATGTTTAAAGTGCTAAAGAAAACCTATCAACCAAGAATTCTATATGTGGCAAAACTGTCTTTCAAAAAATGAGGGAGACATGACATATTCAGATAAACAAAAGCTGAGATAGTTCATTACACTAGGCCTTCCCCTACAAGAAATCCTAAAGGCAGTCCTTCATTTTGAAATGAAAGGACACAAGACAGTAACATAAAATTGTATAATCATATAAACATCTCTAGTAAAGGTAAATACATGGGCAAATATGAAGCCCCTATTATTATAATTTTGGCTTATAACTATTTTTAATTTTCTACAGGATTTAAAATTACAAGAGAAATTAGAAAATACTTTGAGAAATATGAAAATGAAAACACAACATGTCAAAACTTATGGAATGCAAAGGAAATAGTGAGGGACATTTTTTAGCTGTAATCACCACCTTAAAAAAGAAAGATCTCAAACAGATAGCCAAATTTTATACCTTAAGGAACTAGAAAACAAAGTGCAAACTAAATCCAAAACTGGTACAAGGAAGGAAATAATAAAGATTATACAAGAGATAAATAAAGAATAAAAAACAATAGAGAAAACCAACAAAACCAAAAGCCGGTTCAACAAAATTGACAAATCTTTAGCTAGATTGGCAAAAAAATAAATTTAAAAAGTTGACTCAAATTACTAAAACCACAAAGAAGGTCGGGGTTATCACTACCAGTTTTAAAGAGCTAAGAAGGATTGTAAAAGGATATTATGATTAGTTGTATGCCACTAAATTGGATAATCTAGATAAAACAGATGAATTGCTAGAAACACACAGTCTATGAAAACTGAATCATGAAGAAATAGAGAATCTAAATAGACTTACAACTAGTTAGGAGCTTGAATCAGGAATCAAAAATCTTCCAACAAACAAAATCCCTGAATCAGGTGGCTTTCCTGATGAATTTTACCAAGCAATGAAAGAAGAATTAACACCAATCCTACTCAAACTCTTCCAAAAAGTTGAAGAGTAGAGAATATTGACTAACTTATTCTACGAGACTGGTATTACCCTGATAGCAAAGGCAGACAAAGACACTATAAGCAAAGAAAAGCACAGATCAATATACCTTATGAATACTGATGTAAGAATTATCAAGAAAATACATGTAAACCAAATTCAGCAACAGACTAAAACAATCATATGCCATGACCAAGTGGGATTTATTCCCAAAATGCAAGAGTGGTTTAACATCAGAAAATCAAATATACAATATTAACAGAATAGAAGGACCAAAACAACCACATGATCATCTCAGTTGGTTCAGAAAATGTGTCAATGACAAAAAACAATAAAAAAACAAGGAATAGAAGGAAAATTCCTCCACATGATAAAGCAATATATGAAAAACCCACAGCTCACATCACACTCAATAGAACAAGTCAAGGATGCCACCTTGTATCACTTATATTCAAAATAGTTGAAGTTCTAGCCAGAGTAATCAGGTAAGAAACAGAAATAAAAGGCATCCAAATTAGAATGGAGTAAGTAAACTGATCTCTCTTTTCAGATGATATGATCTTATAAATAGAAAACCCTAAATATCCCACAAAAAATTCTAGAGTAAATAAATTCAGCCAGTTTTCAGGATACAAAATCAATACAGAAAATCATTTTCATTTCCATACAACAGCAATACAACAGAAAATTAAGAAAACAATTCCATTTGTAATAGCATAAAGAAGAAAAAAATACGTATGAATAAATTTAATCAAGGAGGTCAAAGATCTATACACTGAAAACTACTAAACACTGCTGAAAAAAATTAAAGGAATAAATAAATGGAAAGACATCCGATGTTCAAGGATTAGAAGACTTAATATTATAAGGGTGATAATACTACCAAAGCAAAATACAGATTCAATGCAATCCCTATCAAAACCTCAATAGCATTATTTTGCAGCAACAGAAAAACCCATCCTAAGATATATAAGGAATCTTGAGGAACTTCAAATAGCCAAAACAATCTTAAGAAAGAACAAAGTTGGAGGATTCCTATTTCTTGATTTCAAAACTTAGTACAAAACTAAATTAATCATAACAGTAATGACATAAGGACAGTTACATAGACCAATGAAATATAATAGAAAGTCCAGAAATAAGGTTTTTCTTAGCATATAAAGAATTGTTCTTAGCATATTTTTGAAGCCTAGCAAAAAATGAAATTGTTCATTTACTCAACCAGACATTTCTTGGCTTACTTTTTGTGATTGTGATTAGAATAGAAGAGGTTTTATTAATGTGTTGAAATTTTGTTTTTCATTAGTCCTAGGCTTAATTATTAGTTTTCTGTAGCATAACTTTGGTGTAGATGTTTATACTCTGGAATAAATATTGCTTTCTATTAAGAATTTTAAAGATACTTAAGTCCATTTATTTTCTTTTAAAATAAATTATCTAATTAAATGTCCTTTGAAAGTAATTCTTTTAATTTATCTATATAGGAAGACTAATTTACCGCATCTCTGACTAACAAAGTACGTGTCTTGGTCCCATATGGGTTGCTATAACAAAATACCCCAGACTGGGTAGCTTACAAACAAAAGAAAAGTACTACTTACAGTTCTAATGCTAGAGAGTGCAAGATGAAGGACCCAGCATGGTCATTTTTGGTAGGGCCCTCTTCCTGGTTCATAGCTGGTCCCTTCTTGCTGGGTCTTCATATGGTGAAAGGGGCAAGGTATCTCTCTGGAACCTTTTTAAGACATTAATCCTATTCATGAGGATTTTATCCTCAAAACTCAAGTACCTTCCAAAGACCCCACTTCCTAATATCAATACCTTTGGGGGGTTAGGATTTCAACATATGAAATTTGGGGGACCCATTTGGACCACAGCAGTATATATACAGACGGAAAGACAACAGAGACCCAAAAGTATCAATATTGCCATTCAAATATATTACTTATGTATGTTATTGTCCTTACATATATAGCTGCCCATGAAGAAAGGCCACTCTCTACATTGGAATTAACTTAATTATGATACGTATGATATCACTCTTAGGAGTTGTGTGTGGTTTTAGTGCTTTGAATATTAGAAGAACTAAAATATTCTAAGAAAAACCCATCCTAAGATATATAAGGAATCTTGAGGAACTTCAAATAGCCAAAACAATCTTAAGAAAGAACAAAGTTGGAGGATTCCTATTTCTTGATTTCAAAACTTAGTACAAAACTAAATTAATCATAACAGTAATGACATAAGGACAGTTACATAGACCAATGAAATATAATAGAAAGTCCAGAAATAAGGTTTTTCTTAGCATATAAAGAATTGTTCTTAGCATATTTTTGAAGCCTAGCAAAAAATGAAATTGTTCATTTACTCAACCAGACATTTCTTGGCTTACTTTTTGTGATTGTGATTAGAATAGAAGAGGTTTTATTAATGTGTTGAAATTTTGTTTTTCATTAGTCCTAGGCTTAATTATTAGTTTTCTGTAGCATAACTTTGGTGTAGATGTTTATACTCTGGAATAAATATTGCTTTCTATTAAGAATTTTAAAGATACTTAAGTCCATTTATTTTCTTTTAAAATAAATTATCTAATTAAATGTCCTTTGAAAGTAATTCTTTTAATTTATCTATATAGGAAGACTAATTTACCGCATCTCTGACTAACAAAGTACGTGTCTTGGTCCCATATGGGTTGCTATAACAAAATACCCCAGACTGGGTAGCTTACAAACAAAAGAAAAGTACTACTTACAGTTCTAATGCTAGAGAGTGCAAGATGAAGGACCCAGCATGGTCATTTTTGGTAGGGCCCTCTTCCTGGTTCATAGCTGGTCCCTTCTTGCTGGGTCTTCATATGGTGAAAGGGGCAAGGTATCTCTCTGGAACCTTTTTAAGACATTAATCCTATTCATGAGGATTTTATCCTCAAAACTCAAGTACCTTCCAAAGACCCCACTTCCTAATATCAATACCTTTGGGGGGTTAGGATTTCAACATATGAAATTTGGGGGACCCATTTGGACCACAGCAGTATATATACAGACGGAAAGACAACAGAGACCCAAAAGTATCAATATTGCCATTCAAATATATTACTTATGTATGTTATTGTCCTTACATATATAGCTGCCCATGAAGAAAGGCCACTCTCTACATTGGAATTAACTTAATTATGATACGTATGATATCACTCTTAGGAGTTGTGTGTGGTTTTAGTGCTTTGAATATTAGAAGAACTAAAATATTCTATGTAACTCAACTTAACTCAAGAAAATAGTATTAAAAATTGGTGATTCTATAAACAAGAAAATTCCTTCTTTTAGCCAAATACATGAAGTAAAAAAATGAGCAACAAAGCAATTTGACCTAGATTCAGATTACTGAAACATTCAAAAGTGTAATTTATTAACATCAAAAAGAATGCTCCTTTCTTCCTTTATTGACAGACAGCAACTGCATCAGTTGAGGTGAGTAATGTGGGTAACTGTTGAACTATACTGTGTTGTATACTTGAAACCAATATAAGATTGCATATCAAGTACACTTCAATTAAAAAAGAAAGAGTGCTCCTTTTTCCTTCAACTATGAAAATACGAATCTGTCCCTAAGGATAAAAATCACATACATATATATAGAAGATTGCATATCAATGACACTTAAATTAAACAAAGAAGAAAAAAAATATCGACTACATATTGACCTCTTACATAATTAGCATTGCTTGAAGACTTTAGTATTTTAGACTAATCAAAAAATAAGCAAAACAATGTATGTATTTAGAAAACCACTTTTCCCCTGTTGCTTTTTACCCTAGGAAGCATATCACAGTTAATCCCAGTGATTTTTTTTAAAGGCAAAAGAAACAGTAAATATTCCCTTACCTTGTATGATGGCAAGAAACACAAAATTCCTTGGCTCATAGTCTGGCACACAGATAACAAAAGTGCTCCCACTTCATCCTGGAATTCAAATGTTTCTGTGTGCTGGAAAGTAGCACAGAGATTCCTACCCTTAGGGCCTGATCCAATTGTGCCAATCCAAACCTAGAATATATATAATATATATGTCAGTATTAGAGTTATGCCTAAACTAGCAGGCAAATTGGCATTTACATGTATGTCAAAGGAAGACCAAGCAACAGGTTTAGAGGAAATTTATTTTTAAATTGTTGGAGTTTTTTCTATCACTTTCAATTAATTATATATAGATCTAACTTACTGAAGTTTTACTTTAGGCAGACCACTGAATTCTCTTAGAATTTTACCCATTTCCTCAATGCTTTGCAAAATTAAGCATATAACAAAATTTTGTTGGATGAGGTAAACAAATTAAGTAAACATCAAAAATTATTCCAAAATATTAGAGGTGTGTGCTGGTATGATCTGATACAGGTAAATGTCTACGATTCAACTATGACAGGAACTACTCTTTCACAAATTCACTGGTGCTCAAAGATCTAGTCATAGAAAATCAGACACACCAAATTTTAGTTATTTGTAGTAACTCTACATTCATAACTGAACTAGTTTTAGTTCCGTTAATCTAAGAGAAAGAACAAATTTTATTAATAACCAAAAGACAATCCAAAAACCTTAGACTGTTGAGAAATGTTATAGTCCTGAATTTCAAAATGAAGCATCAGATTGAGATAGATTTTGCAAGATGACATCAGATGGACACCAGTTTAATCAGCTTTAACCAAATGATCATCTAGCAATAAATAATAAGACAGAACTGATATTATGTTTCCTGATATGATGCAATGGGAAGTAACAATATCACCTATGTATATTCTTACCAAACTGTTTAGCCTGAATCCTATCATCAAGAACCAATAAGATAAATCCAGATTATAAGACATTCCTCAAGATCATTGGTGACTTGAATTCTTAAAAAATGTCATGGAAGACCAAAAAAGGGCAAGAAAATTGTTTTAAAGACATGAAAACTGAATCCAATATATAATACTTCTTTGGATCCTGGATCAAGAATAAGAAAAATAAGCAGATATACAAGACATTTGGGGAATAATTGGAGAAATATAAATAATGACTCTATTGTATCAATATTAAATTTCTTGGGTATGATTGTAGTTATGTACCTGTTTACATGCCTGGGTTAAATACAGGATTATGTACCTGTTCTTTAGAGAGCCATGCTAAACTGATTAAGGGCAAAGAACCATGATGTCTACAAAATTGCTTTCTAATGGTTTATCCAAAAATGTGCATTATACATAAATATGTCTACATATAGAGACATATAATATATACATGTATTAACATTTTGCAGTATTTCTCTTCTCTTTCTCATATATATATACACACACACACACACATACACATAAATAAAATGTTAACAACTGATGAATCTAGGTGAAGGGTATAAAGATGCTCTCTACATTAATACAACAACATGGATGGAGCTAGAGGGTATTATGCTCAGTGAAATAAGACAGGCAGAGAAAGACAAGTATCAAATGACTTCATTCACTAGTAGAGTATGAAAACAGCAAAACTGAAGGAACCAAATAGGAGCAGACTTACAGACTCCAAGAAGGGACTAGTGGTTACCAAAGGGGAGAGGCCAGAGAGGTTGGGTGGGGAGGTAGGGATAAGGGGATTAAGGGGCATTATGATTAGCACACATAATGTAGTGGGGATATGGACAAGGCAGTACAGCACAGAGAAGACAAGTAATGACTCTATACCATCTTACTACACTGATAGACAGAGACTGCATTGGGGGTAGGGCAGTGAGGACTTGATAATACGGTGAATGTTGAAACCACAATGTTGTTAATGTGAAACCTTCATAAGATTGTATATTAATGATACTTTAATTTAAAAAATTAAATATATAAAATTAAAAAATTAAAAGATGATCTTTTATCATACATAAATTTTACATTTAATATAGTTGGATGTATCAACTGCTTGTTTTGTTTTATGCAAAAAAAAGAAAGTTGAGAACAATGAGTAGACAAACAAAATGTGGTACATACATACAAACAATGAAAATTATTCAGTCTTTAAAAGGAAGGAAATCCTCACTCAAGTTACATGGATGAAGCTTAAAAACATCAAGCTAAGTGAAGTAAGCTAACCACAAAAAGGAAAATACCTTATGATTTCACTTACATGAGATATCTAGAGAAGTCAAATTCATAAAAACAAAAAGTAGAAGAGTGGCTACCATAGGCTAGGAGGAGGGGGGACAGAGAATTGTCTAATAGAAAAAGAATTTCAGTTACACAAGATGAAAAAGTTCTACAAACTGGTTGCACAATATGAACATATCAACAAGCCTGAACTGAACATTTAAAAATGGTCAAGATAGTAAATTTTACATTATGTAAATTTTATCACAATCAAAAAATAAAGGCTTTAAAAGTTGGGAGAAATATAACAGAATTCAACTTAACTAGCATTATATTATTTTATTATGATTTAATGACATGACTGGTTAAATTGGCCTTTGTGTACTAGATTGAGAATATAGAGCCTATAGTAACATCCTTGTGAGAAAATATATGCTGACTTTACTAATAACTCCCCATATTTTTTTGAGCCTCTAAAGGAAGCAACTTGAAAATGTGGAACATACGTTTTCTCCCACTATGATTTACAGCAATGTTCCTAAATAGGAACACTAGCATTTTGAAAAGCCCAATTCTTGGTTTTATAGGAGCTCAGCATTCAAGGCCCTCACCTACTAAATGTCAGTAGTTCCTTCCAAGTAGTTGAGAATGTCCCCCGGAAGAACTAAAATTGCATAGGCACACAGGTGGTTATTAAGCATGTAGATAACTGCTTTAAGTTACTTCATAAAAAGAAACAAAAGGCAGATTGGTGAATGGTAAGTCCTGGAAATATTAAAATAACATTTATATGGTATCATTATAAAAAAATCAGTGGCTTCATATCAGTACTTCTAATTCATTTCATTATATATATTCAAAATTGTGCTAAACACTTGCTAACTAATGCCAGGTAGTAATCTAGTTGCAGTGGGAGAATCAGGACATAGAACAAGAAGGATTCACTGAATCTAATGGAAAAGATACACACATAAATAATTATATAATAAGAACTACAGTAAAGATACTGAATTTTGGGGTTCTTTTTTAACTTTTATAAGAAACCCTAAACCTTATTTAAATGAAGAAACTGCAATACAGTCTGCATCCAAAGTGTCTATTTTTACTCACTGAGTTGAAGGAATGCTATTTATTAGTATTTCTTTTATTGATACTACTAAATAACTGATAGATTTTCTTTTATTCTAAAACTGAAATATTGAAGAAACAGATTCATAAATAGAACTAGTGGCTGCCTTAGGGGAGGGCAAAATAGGTGAAGGGGATAAAAAGGTATAAACTAACTATAAAATAATAAATAAAGTCACAGGGATGAAAAGTATAGCATAGGGAATATAGTCTATAATATAATAATTTTATATGGTAACAGATAGGAACTATGTTTACTGTGGTAAACATTTCATAATGTATATAACTGTCAAATCAGTATGTTGCAAATCTTGTACATCAATAATTCTTATATATATATATATATATATATATAAAGCTGCACTGTTGAATTTCCTATCAGGGTCTGTTTACTAGTACTTCTAATTTGTTTGTATAGAATTATATTGAGGTAAAAAGACTAAGAGCCTTCAAAAAAAAATACTAACCTGTGAGTTATTAATGATATGATTAGCTTCCAGTTGGATAGTAAATGTAATGCCAAGCTCTGATGAAAATGATTTCATTGGAGATAATGTCCCAGATGTCAAAACAATTGTCCAAACTTTGCCATTAACATCTGAAAATGCCTAATAAGAAACATTAAATACATGAAATCATCTTTAAAAGAATCAAACACATTTATTTAATTGTTGGTATTGAGCAAGAAGATAGTTTTCATTTACAACATGGTAAGCTTACCACAGCTGGATTTAAGCACCAAAAGTTTAGCACGTTAACTGCAGCTTTCTGTCTTAAACTTTTCTTATTTTTTGGTAGAGCAAAGAACCCATTTTTATCTGAAATATCAGTCTGATATATCCAAGAGTAAGTCTGCTGAATAGCAATTTTATAATCATCTGCAAATCTAGATGAAAATAAAACAGTAATTAAATGGCAAAACTTTATAAAACATGGAATTGTCCAGCTACATACAACATAAAAACCAATTATTTTATAATTAAATTGAGAGTTCTAGCATATTCCCAAAGATAACATTCTTCCCACCAACAACCTCCACCACTAATTAAATTCAATAATTCTGATAGAAAATAAGCCTTTAAATGTTAGAATCAACACCCTCTTACAGAGATTAGGTATCGTATAGCCATCCAGTCCTTACCACTTCCTATGACTATGTTGAAACATCACATAAATCTTGGTAGAATCATACTTTTAATCTAGGCTTCCTAACTGCTAGTAGAGCTCTCTGCACTCTATGTAAACACCATTAGTTACAAAACAGTTAACAATATTAATGTTAAAGACACTAAAAAGTGGGTTATACTTTTTTATTCCATGAGAAAACAGGTAATTTTTACTGAAAGTTTTAAAAGTTTAGGAAACTAACATTTTAAAGTTCCTTTAAAATCTAGGTCTCCATCTTCACCTATCTTCAATGAAGGTACTGAACTAGATAATCTCTGTGATCCCATTTAGTTTATATTTCTTTCAATAAGAAGTGATAAATTTCTAGGCTTAAACAGAATAAAATGTGGTATTCTCTACCATGTCCTCACAATAATATTGACTATTCATTTCACTCTTAGAGAGATTAGATCTCAAAGTTCAAGTCAGGGACCCTACAAACTGTGGAGAGAATTTTATAAAAATACTGGGAACTAAAAACTAAAATTCTTAGAAGAAAACATAGGGGAAAATCTTCATGACATCAGATTTGGCCATGTTTCTTAGATATGCCAAAAAAACAAGCAACAAGAAAAAAAACAGATAAAGTGGCCTTCATCAAAATTAAAAATCTTTTATGAATCAAAGGACACAACCAAGACAGTGAGAAGACAACCACAGAATAGGAGAAACATTTGTAAGGCACATATCTGATACAGGATTGATATGCAGAATATAAAAATAACTCCTACATCTCAACAAAATCCAATTCAAAAATAGGCAGAGGACTTGAATAGACATCCTCCAGTGAAGATATACAAATGGATAATAAGCACACAAAAAGATATTCAAAATCTTTAGCCATAAAGGAAATATAAATCAAAACTACAATGAGATACTACTTCACAACAATTAGATTGACTAAAATAACAAAGACATATAATAGATGTAGGCAAGGATATGAAAAAATCATAACCCTCATACATTGCTGGTGGGAATGTAAAATAGTGCAGCCACTTTAGAATACAGTTTTAGCAGTTACTCAAACTATTAAACATCAAGATACTATATGACCCAGCAATTCCACTCATAGGTATATACTCAGAAGAACTGATAGCCTGGACTAAAACCGATCTTTGTATACCAGTATTCATAGAAGCATTATTTACAACAACAAAAAGGTATAAACAATCCAAGTGTCCATCAACATAAGAATGTAAGCAAAATATGGTATATACATACAGTGAAATATTTCAACCACAAAAAGGAATGACATTCTGATATATGTTACAATATGGGTAAACCTTGAAAATAATATGCAAAGTGAAATAAATGAAGCACAAAAGAAAAAGTATTATATAATTCCACTTATATGAGGTACCTAGAAAGGGAAAATGGGCTGTGGGGAGAGGAAAATGGGAAATATTGTTTCATGAATATAGAGTTCCTGCTTGGGATGATGAAAATTTCTGGAAGTGGATAGTGGTGATGGTTGTACAACAATGTGAATATACTTAATGCTACTGAAACCAGGTATTACTATAACTTAAAGGGTAGTGTGTGAGGAGTTGGATCTTTTTCACCTTCCACCTTTCATTAAATAGAGGGTTTATGTAATAACAAAGAAACTTTCTTACACTGGGAAAAACATCTAAACTACTTAAAAGAAAACTAACACTTAAAGTCAGTCCCAAAGTATATAAATTTAATGCTGAATTAAATGTATTTACTTAAAGATTTCAATAATATTTATTTCATTAATACTAATCTCAATTGATCTGAGGCTGTTACAATAAGTAAGAGCAATATTTACAGTACTTGCTTTACGATTATCCTATGTACTCATGCAAAATCAGTATGTACTAAATACATGCTAGCCTCCAATAAGGCTAATACATGTAGGAGGAAAAATACAAATCAGATACCTTGGCTTACCTGCGATTTTGCCTAAAAAGATACTCAAACACCATAAAAAGTCCTTTGAACATTATCTGAGTTGAAGTGCTAATAATAGGTACTTCTCTTGCCTCCTCTTTACCATGAATTGGTGACACTTTTTCTTCTTTTTGAAGAACAGCAGAAAAATGTCCCTACAAGAAATTACAGTATTAAGTATACTGTGGGGAAGGGAAAAGAGGGAAAACAAACTTCTTGAAACTATAGTGAATCCCAAATGAAATATCTGTTCTAATTTCAGGCAAACATTATTAAAACAACTGCTAACAATATGTTTTGAATTTCCATATATTCTGAAATCCTCCTCAGAGTCAAAGATATTTTAATAATAAGCTACATATTTAGGAGGTTCACTGCTTCTCCAGGCAATTAGAGTATTATTTAGTGCCCTTCAAAAAGTAAAGAAAGTGGGATCACAGGAAGATGGTGGCGTGAGTAGTTCAGTGGAAATCTCCTCACCAAACATATTTATGAAAATACAATAAATACAACTATTCCTAAAAGAGACACCAGTGGATACAGTACAACAGCCAGGAAACATCTACACCTGCAAGAACACAACACCACATGAAGTGGGTAAGATACAAGCCGCAGCCAGATGGGACCCAAACACCCCCCCACCCCAGAACCCGGTGGGAAGAAAGGAGTTGGAAAAGGGAGGGAGTGAAAGCCCAGGACTGCTAAACAACCAGCTCTAGAAATCTGCACCTGGAGCGCAGACATACGGTGCACAGGGTGCTGGATATTAGAAAAACGGAAAAGCAAAACCTGCGGGCAGGTCCCCACAACCGGTGCCCCTGAGACAAAAGAAAAGCGAGTGCTTTTTGCAAGTCTTAAAGAGAGAGGGACCCCACAGCTGGAAGAAGTCGTCCAAGCACACTTAGCCAGCGGCTGGGAATCCCGGGGAACTTTAGGTGCCCTAACCCCCCAGGGGGCAGCGGAGCTTTGAAGCCCATCATGGCACGAAGCAGCCTGCCAGTCATTCCCCCAACTGGGGTGGACCCCAACACACTGGCCCAGTAGTGGAGTGTCAGCGTGCACCAGAGGAGGAGGCACCCGAGGTGACTGAGAGTGGCCCACATGCGCTGGTGGCGCCAGAGGGGACCGGGAGCGGCTTGTGTGAGCCAGCCGTGGCAGCGACCGAGTGACCCGGAGCAACCCGCACGTGCCAGCGGAGCCAGAGGGGCACATGAGAGGCCCGCACGCAACTGCAGCGGTGCCAGAGGGAGCAGCCACACTCCCAGCAGCCGCCTGGAATCCCAGCCTGACGCACAGCTGCTCAGGCCAGACCCAAAGGCTGCTGCTGGCACACAGCTGCCTGGCAGGGGTGCTGCATTAACAGAGGAGCGCACCTGGCATGCCAGTCACTCCTCGCCGGGCCCTACGCTGCTCTGACTGAGACCCCGCCCACAGCAGCAAAGGAAATTAACCTGGTTGCTGCTCCAGGAGTGCGGGTAACTGACACAGGCAATGGAAAAGGGTAAGGCATCCAACAACAGGAAAGGACTTTCTTCTCCCAGCTGAAACACCTGCAACCTGCCTACAGCCACTGCTACCACCATAAAAAGGCAGAAAAATTTAGTCCAGTCCAAAATAGTCCAGACAACCCCTGAGAGAGGATCTGCAGAGACAGACCTAACCAGTCACCCTGAAAAAGAATTCAAAATAAAAATCATAAACATGCTGACAGAGCTGCAGAGAAACGTACAAGACCTAAGGGATGATGTCTGGCGGGAGATTACAGAGGTGAAACAATCTCTGGAAGGATTTATAAGTAGAATGGATAAGATGCAAGAGGCCATTGACGGAATAGAAACCACAGAACAGGAACGCATAGAAGCTGATGCAGAGAGAGATAAAAGGATATCCAGGAATGAAACAATATTAAGAGAACTGTGTGACCAATCCAAAAGGAACAATATCCGCATTATAGGGGTACCAGAAGAAGAAGAGAGAGAAAAGGAGACAGAAAGTGTCTTTGAAGAAATAATTACTGAGAACTTCCCCAAACTGGGGGAGGAAATAGTTGCTCAGACTACAGAAGCACACAGAACTCCCAACAGAAGGGACCCAAAGAGGACAACACCCAGATACATAATAATTAAAATGGCAAAGATCAAGGACAAGGACAGAGTATTAAAGGCAGCCAGAGAGAGAAAAAAGGTCACCTACAAAGGAAAACCCATCAGGCTATCATCAGACTTCTCAACAGAAACCTTACAGGCCAGAAGAGAATGGCATGATATACTTAATGCAATGAAACAGAAGGGCCTTGAACCAAGGATACTATATCCAGCATGATTGTCATTTAAATATAAAGGAGAGATTAACCAATTCACAGACAAGCAAAAGTTGAGGGAATATGCCTCCCACAAACCACCTCTACAGGGTATTTTACAGAGACTGCTCTAGATGGGAGCACTCCTAAAAACAGCACAGAACAAAACACCCAATATATGAAGAACGGAGGAGGAATAAGAAGGGAGAGAAATAAAGAATCATCAGACTGTGTTTATAATAGCTCAATAAACAAGTTAAGTTAGACAGTAAGATAGTAAAGAAGCCAACCTTGAACCTTTGGTAATCACGAATCTAAAGCCTGCAATGGCAATAAGAACATACCTTTCAATAATCACCCTAAATGTAAATGGACTGAATGCACCAATCAAAAGAAACAGAGTAATAGAATGGATAAAAAAGCAACACCCATCTATATGCTGCTTACCAGAGACTCACCTAAAACCCAAAGACATGCACAGATTAAAAGTCAAGGGATGGAAAAAGATATTTCATGCAAACAACAGGGAGTAAAAAGCAGGTATTGCAATGCTAGTATCAGACAAAACAGACTTCAAAACAAAGAAAGTAACAAGAGATAAAGAACATGACATAATGATAAGGGCTCAGTCCAACAAGAGGATATAATCATTATAAACATGCATGCACTCAACAAAGGAGCACCAACATATGTGAAACAAATCCTAACAGAATTAAAGGAGGAAATAGAATGCAATGCACTCATTTTGGGAGACTTTAACACACCACTCACTCCAAAGGACAGATCCACCAGACAGAAAATAAGTAAGGACACAGAGGCACTGAACAACACACTACAACAGATGGACCTAATAGACATCTATAGAACTCTACATCCAAAAGCAACAGGATACACATTCTTATCAAGTGCACATGGAACATTCTCCAGAATAGACCACATACTAGGCCAGGAAAAGAGCCTCAGTAAATTCTAAAAGATTGAAACCCTACCAACCAACTTTGGAGACCACAAAGGTATACAACTAGAACTGTACAAAGAAAGCAAAAAGGCTCACAAACGCATGGAGGCTTAACAACATGATCCTAAATAATCAATGGATCAACAACCAAATTAAAATGGAGATCCAGCAATATATGGAAACAAATGACAACAACACAAAGTCCCAACTTCTGTGGGACACAGCAAAAGCAGTCTTAAGAGGAAAGTATATAGCAATCCAGGCATATTTAAAGAAGGAAGAACAATCCCAAATGAATAGTCTAATGTAACAATTATCAAAATTGGAAAAAGAAGAACAAATGAGGCCTAAAGTCAGCAGAAGGAGGGACATAATAAACATCAGAGAAGAAATAAATAAAACTGATAAGAATAAAAGCATAGAAAAAAATCAATGAAACCAAGAGCTGGTTCTTCGAGAAAATAAACATAATAGATAAGCCTCTAGCCAGACTTATTAAGAGAAAAAGAGAGTCAACACACATCAACAGAACCAGAAACAAGAAAGGAAAAATCACGATGGACCCCACAGAACTACAAAGAATTATTAGAGATTACTATGAAAACCTATATGCCAACAAGCTGGATAACCTAGGAGAAATGGACAACTACCTAGAAAAATACAACCTTCCAAGACTGACCCAGAAAGAAACAGAAAATCTAAACAG